TAGACCTGGTACCTGCAAAGTTATGGTCCCAAAGATGATGGCAATTTTCTTTTATGAAAAAGAAAAAAGCTTGGTAAAAGTGGCGATACGAAAAGCGGCACATGTTGTTAGATGCAATTTGAAACGCTACTCCAAACCTACCTTCCGTACTGCGCATTTCTTTAAAGGAAGTTAAGAGGCTTTTCTATGCCGAATGAAGCCTTTACTACCTATTCAGACCTCAGACAAGAACCCAAGAGTTTTGATGAGAACGCCATTACAGCTATTCAACTTTTACGCTGCGGTTTTAGGTCAAATTGGAACTTTTGGGCATTTTTTACAAGGCTTGCAAGCCAATTTTGTTAGAAAAAGATGTTTATAACTTCTTTCAAAGATTTGCTTAGCAGATATGAAAGACTGTGGAATAGCATTTTAAACTTCATCTAACAGATGTATTAGTTAATCTTCCATTAAGTGTCCTTCCCTTGTAAGTTGGTGGGGGAACAACTGGCGCCAAGGGAGTCGCTCCAACGAGTGATAAACAAATCTTTTTAGTAAGTGTTTACTTCGAATTTCTCATCAACGTTAGCTTTTTTAATTTGTTTCGACCCCATCATGTTTCTCTCAACAAATTCTTCAAACTTGGAAGTTTTATGTGGGTTAATTATAAAAAAACAGTAAGCAGATGTACATTAAGGTTTTTGGGTTTTAGAAAAATTTCAGAATAACACATCTTACTTCTGATGTTATGAGTGTAACCTACCTCAAACATCCCTTGAAACGGAGCACTACCTAACTCAAAGGCCCTTGTTGGTACTCCTGGAGAGTACGGTGTACTTTCATCGATCTGAAGAAGTACCACTGAAACGTCAAACAAAAGCTTTTGACAAAGATTCAAAGTTATTCCTATGAAGCACATATCTGCAAAAGTTCAATAATGCAGTAGAAATTCTTAACTAGAATTTAAGGATTGGAGGCTATTATACACCTACAGAAACAATCGTGATAAAATGAGTTGCATGTCACCTTCAATCATTCAATTACTCATAATTGGCACACCTTGACAACTGGCTGATATGTAGACTGCATCAAGAAACCACGCGCATCGTAGCAGCATGTTTGGCCATAATGAGTTGCATAAGAGCTAAAAAAAGGAGTAGGTTGTGTTAACGCTCTGCGAGATTAACCTCTACCTCTCCTCTTCTTGACCCTCCGAAGTAGTTCGATACGTTGATCCACGAACATTTTGGGCGGACATGTAACAATTCATGGATCCTAGCGTTTCAGTACAAGTAACATCACGAAAGAGCTGTAATAGAAGGCATAAGCCTCAATAAAATTATCCCCATTGGTTAAACGTATATGAATGGGTCAATGATTGTTACGGTACTAATATCCATGAGCTATGGGAACCAGGTGATCAGAGACGAACCGAACTGCACCTCGGATGAGGCATGTATCGTCCCAAATCCATTTTTGCTTGCTCCTCCTTGCATGGGCAACTGGAATTCGTTTCCGTTTCTCTTATAAAATTTGATAATGCACCATCTTCATTGAACCAATCGTGACACAGTTGGCGAGCCTTAAAGAAGTTTTAAATACACGGGATAAAAGGATTAAAGAAGCAGGGATGAGTGTTGCTCAAATCCATGTGCAGAATCTTTAAAAAAAAGTTAGTCGTAGTTGATAATGATATTATAATATTAATGGTACAGTATAATTTATAATTTAATACGTTACTCGAAAAAAAGCGGTTGTAAAGGATAGTGTTTTACTTCCTTCTACAATATTTCCCTTCTGCCTTCCCACCTCTCCCTCTCCCACTGCTCACGCCCACTTCCTCTTGTAAATACGCTCACCTTTTCCTTAACAAAACTAAGCTTAGCTTGTATGTCCTGTCTATTTCCTTGAAATTCTCCATCAGCTGGCAAAGTCCACAACCAGTGCAGCGAGATAGGCGAGGAGATAATGCTGAATAACACACATTTGAGAAATAATTTGAAATCTTCAGTTTAGGCTAAAAACTGACTACCTCTGATTCTGTTTTGACCATATTGAGAGACTTTACCTGTTATCTAGGCAAAATGTAAGAAGCAGCTTACCCTTCCGGAAGTTCTACATATCTTCGACCAGTTGTGACGGACACTTCTTGTAGCGGTGCCATTTTCAGATAGCCAAATCTAAAAGTAGAGCGATTGCAGTGTAAGTATGCATATAATCTTAAAATGAGTAATTTGTTAATATTAGTTAGATGTGTTTATTGAATAACCAACACTTCTCATCGAACAATCTGATTTGAAAGTTTTCAATTTTTAGAAAACAACGCGTCGACGAGTAGGCACTACACAGATTTTACCTGTACGTGAAAAGATCCTCGCGCACCTCATCACTGTCGAGGTACCATTCATCGACACGATCCAGGCTGTAACGTTCTACGATTGGATTCCATCTGTATTGCTCATCTGCTCGATTCGTATAGGTGGCCAGTCTGGATAGTATATGATCGTTGCATAACTTGATTTTGAGCAGATTATCATATTTAGAACTCTATCTCATACAATCAAATTAAAGTTCAAAGTTCGTTAATTTTTCCGTGAGTTTTTCGTTTTTAACTTAGGTTAAAATCGCTAGGCATTGGGCCATTTGGGTTGGGATAAGTTCCTACCGTTTCCTACGGAGTCAAAAATGTATGAAAACCGGAAGTATTGGCAGCACATTGTTTATCATCTGAATATGTGCAGGGCCATAAAAAGCTGCAGCTTAGTTTTTCTGAAAAGTGAGGAACTTAAAGTTTTTAACAAATGGATTGTTGGAGTTGGATATGCTGATTACGGATATTACAGTCGCGGTACACCCTTATTGTGGGAGGCACAGTATATT